TTCCTTGTCTTCATCTACTACTGCTTCAACTGATTGCTCTCACTCACTTGGGCCACCCCCGGTGGTACCTAAGCATTGGTTACATACAACGGCCCACTCTCAGCCCACTTCAACTAACAGTTCTCAGTTTGGGCCTTTAGTTTCTTCATCATCCTCACCTGAACCAAATTCAGTCTCGCCTTCTGTTGCTCTTGCAATTACGATTCCCCACATATCTGCTAAACCGATGTCTACAACTTCTTCACATGTATCAAATGAGTCGTTGCCTACAACCTCTCCACCAATTGGGTCCTCAGCTCCATCCGTTGTACCTCAAAACAACCACCCTATGGTTACACGGTCTAAAAATGATATATGGAAACCAAAGACCTTATCTGTCACAAAGCATCCTCTGTCCACTGAGTATTATGAACCAAACTCTTTTCATCAGGCCCATAGTGATCCTAAATGGCGGGCCACCATGGATTTTGAGTTTAATGCCTTGGTAAAAAATGGGACATGGACCCTTGTTCCTAAGCCACCCAATGCTGAGCCCTAGTTGTAAGTGGGTTTTCAAGCTAAAGTGTTATCTTGATGGAACAATTGAACGTCACAAGGCACGACTTGTTGCTCGAGGTTTTACTCAACGGGATGGCATTGATTACACAGAGACTTTTAGCCCTGCTATTAAGTCCACTATTATCCGTGTCATTTTGGGTCTTGCTATGTCTATGGGCTAGTCACTCCAACAATTGGATGTTCAAAATGCATTCCTTCATGGATGTTGGATTTTAATCTCATAAGAGATTAAATCCAATAGGTTTGATTTGTCAATTACATGAAAAATTGCACCTACACATTTGATTAAAAAATTAGTTTTTCTCTTACAAAACCCAGTTTTGAAATTGTCCCACATTGGAAAATTATAAGGTTTGTTTTTAGTATTCTAATAGGAGCTGATTTACACTTCTTAGAAATAGTAGAGAAGAGTATGGGGGTTTGATACCGCGCAACGCGCGCACACATGTGTGCGGTGCAATGAGGCGCTTTAGAGGCACAATTCAAAGTTAACAGTCATTAATTGTTAACTACTTTTTAAACAATCACAATGTTTGAAATTGTGACTGTTCAAGGTGCMTTCTCTRAACCAGCACYTACCTTTTCTTCATACCTCTTCATAAACTATTTAAGGAGCATGAATTAGATTTCAAAAACACACATTTTCGAAATCCACTTTCTCTCTCTCTCTCTCTCTCTCTCTCTCTCTCTCTCTCTCTCTCTCTCTCTCTCTCAGTCTGGCCTGCTATAGTCTCACAGAAGGTTTCTTTGGAGATTCTTCAACTTTGCTAGTTGCAGATTCTCGCCCAAGGTTCTGTTGTATCCTGGGAACAGATTTGCCTGTAACCGAACAGCAAACTCAGTGAAACTGAGTGGAAGCAAATAACGTTCTAAAGACAGTGTCTTCATACGTGCCTCAGAGCTTCTCCCCCAAAGTTACAATGACCCCATTTTCCAACAATGGAGACCTTGTTGAAATTGTGTATTTGTCCCAACCACCAGGATTCAAGGACCCCCACCATCCTCATCATGTGTGCTTACTGCATAAATCGCTTTACGGGCTCAAACAAGTGCCTCGAGCATGGTATCATAAGCTTACCAACTTCTTGCTCTCTTGTGGGTTTAATGCTTCTTAGTCCGATACTTCTCTCTTCTTGAAACATGATGGTTCGTCCTCTCTTTTTGTTCTCATTTATGTAGACGATACTATTGTCACAGGATCTAATTCCAAGGCTGTCTCTAATCTTGTTCACTTGTTGGGTTCTTAGTTTGCTGTTAAGGACCTAGGTCCCTTGCATTACTTTTTGGGTGTGGAAGTTCTACCCACTAAAACGGGCCTGTTCTTATCACAAAAGAAATATATCTCAGATCTATTGTTGCAAACTCACATGGATGGTTCTAATCTAGTTACCACTCCCTTACAGCCTGGTGTTCATCTCTCGAAATCTGAAGGCACTCTTCTTTCGGACCCACGTGAATATAGACAGGTTGTTGGCACACTATAGTATATCTTACTCACCAGGCCCGATTTATCATTTGTTGTTGCTAAACTATGTCAGTTCATGCACTGCCCAACTTCAGCCTATTGGGCCCAAGTTAAGCGCTTGTTGCGTTATCTCAAGCATACACTCACATTTGGCCTCACCATTAACAGTTCTCGAGATTTTTCTCATGGTGGTTTTTGTGTTTTCATGGGTCCCAATATTATTTCTTGGTCCTCCAAGAAGCATCTTATTGTTTCAAAGTCTAGCACGGAAGCTGAATACCGGATTGTTGCCCTCGCTGCCTCCGAACTCCTTTGGCTTCATTCCTTGCTCATGGAGCTTCACATTCCACTCTCCACTCTTCCAGTACTTTGGTGTGATAGTATAGGGGCTACGTACCTCTCTTCCAATCCAGTTTTTCACTACAGCTCTAAGCATATTGAAGTTGATGTGCATTTTGTTCGGCATCATGTCCAACATAACAACCTTGCCGTTCATTTTATCTTGGTCTCTACCAAGGACCAGCTTGTAGATATTTTCACCAAATCACTTCTTGGTCCACGATTTGCATGGCTTTGTGGCAAGTTGAAATTTGGCACCCCAACCTTCAACTTGCGGGGGGGGTGTTAGGGATATCATTGCCCCTAGACATGTGAAGACCTCCACCATCTCTGAAGATAGAGTTTGTGTTTCTAGATTTATTTGATTGTATCAGTTTTTCTTGCATATCTATGCAAGTTTTTTACTCATCCATGTGTATTCTTGGTACATCTCTTGATGATACTGAGATCGGCTTCCATCAGGGCGAGCCCATGCCTACATCATTCCAACCGCCTTTTGCAACCTTGCATTAGGAATATCTCTCCATGAAATAATGAAATAAAACACATAAGCAATGAGATATCCTCAATGTAAAGATGTAAAGGCTACTCCAAGGTTCAAAGTAGGGGGTGTTAGGGATATCATTGCCCCTAGACATGTGAAGACCTCCACCATCTCTGAAGATAGAGTTTGTGTTTCTAGATTTGTTTGATTGTATCAGTTTTTCTTGCATATCTATGCAAGTTTTTTACTCATCCATGTTTATTCTTGGTACATCTCTTGATGATACTGAGATCGGCTTCCATCAGGGCGAACCCGTGCCTACATCATTTCAACCGCCTTTTACAACCTTGCATTAGGCACATAAGCAATGAGATATTCTCAATGTAAAGATGTAAAGGCTACTCCAAGGTTCAAAGTATTAATACGTATCGATTAATATATATCATGCCAATGACTTTTCGATACATCTCCATAAGGATTGTATCGGATCAAACCATGGTTCAGAGGGTAGACGGGACTTAAACTGATCCCTCTAAACTGATTTTAAAAAATAAATAAATAAAACATAAAAAAGCACGATACAAGCCAATACTCTGGTTGGTTATGCCCTGACCGAGAACTCGGCTTCAATCAGTGCAATTCCTGTTCGAACAGCATTCATGGCCTTGCATTGGGAATATCTCCCATGAACAAAGTACATAGTTACGGAGATATTCCCAATGCAAGGCTGTAAAGGGTTCCAACGGTATTCGAACGAGCCTTGCACTGACGAAAGCCGAATTCCTTGATACTCTATAATTTGAACAGTCTCTACTTAAAAGCAGATTATACGGTTTTAGCATTTAACTAACTGAAATTAATCTTAGATAACTGTGGATGGCTGTTATATGGATTTAATTAATGGCAATAGAAAGAGAGGCAGCGCATTTTGATGTCATCTAAATTCCCAGGTGACTGTCAATTGAAGCAGCAAGAATAACGAAACAGAGCAAGAACCTATACGACGATCGCTTCCACGACTGATGACCTTTGCGTGACGGGAGTATCTCTGAAGGGAAATTCCCGCAATAAATCGTTGTATTCCAGCTCCTAACACGAAAAAAAAAAGAAAAAAAGAAAAGAGAGGAGAGGAGATGACGAATTGTTCAAACCAGTAAAAAATCTTGTAAAAGGAAGATGAAATAAAAAAGCGGCTTCCCTCCGTTCTGGTGTGAATGGATGTAGTACGTCATGGGTTGAGTTTGGCGAAACGACTTCATAATTCAAAATTTGAAGCATACAGATCTCTACTTTATCCTAGATTCTGATTCAAAATTCTTAATAAAAATACCATGAACCCAAGACAAATGGATCAAAAGAAAAATAACAAGAGGAAGACAACATAAAATAACAAGAGGATAGGAATTGAACAGAAGTAATGATTCAATAAGAAGATCGAGTTGATTCTCCAGGTAATCCAATATAAAGATTTAGTGTGCTAAATCCTCTGTGTCGGATTCCATGTCAGAAGTTTTAGCTCTGAAATTAAGGATGCAATTACTACCTTGGTCTCCAATTTTTCTTTGAAAACGTGAGTATAAATTTACGTTCCAGGGTTCAAAAAAATGGGAGAAGATAACGTTGGGATTTTACTGAGCTCCTGCTTTATGCACGACTAGTTTTGTTAGTGAAACAATGGCTACTCTGAAACAATACCTGTCGTATTTTGGTGGCGGAGATGAAAGCAGCTTTCTCCGCCTCCAGTGTGAAAGCTCAAGCTTCTCTGCGTCCAGTTTCCCTACTGGGCTTCGCTCATTCAGTGAAAGCTCGAACGGTGGTTCAAAGAAACCCAACAGAAGAGATATAGACGGAGCTAGCTTACACAGATGAAAGCTGAAGTCATGGTTCGGAGAAGAGTTCTGATATCCTGGTTTTAGTGCAGCGCTAAAACCGCGTCGTAACATCAAGCCCAAACAGAGAGTGAGAGGCGAAAGCAGCAACTCAACGAATATGAATTGGTCTTACGGGATTAAGAAAGTGCAATTTGGTTTAAAAAAGATAAATTTTTTATGCCGCTCGAAAACATGACTGATTTTGCCACATGACCGAACTTGGTCATTTAATATTCCAAAAGTCGTTTTTTCAAGTTCAAACCGTGAAACTGTGTTCTGCAGCTATCTGGATGATCTACTCCCAGTCTCAAGGTCAGATTTTTGTACCCTCTCAAGTCCCAATATACCGAATTTCGACCTTCTCTCTGCATCTTTCCAAACCGGAAAGCTCGAAAACGTTTGAAATCCGCCGTTTGGATGTGTTTGATCAATCAGTTTAACGAAGGTTTGAGTGCATTTCGGTGTAAGCTACTAAGCTTGTTTAGGATTTCTATATTCTGCATTTCCGTTGGCTTTATTTTTATTTGATTCTGCTCGTAACTGGATTTGGAATATGTGAATTAGTTTGTTTTGAAGAAATAAGGAGTTTCTGATTAAGAACTAAGCTTCAACATCGTTTCTTCCATGAATTCTCTCGTTCTTATTGGTTCCGTCAAATAGTTTTTGGGTTTGTCATCTCTTGGTAGGTCGGTCTGATTTTTTATTCATTAAAGGTTGAAGCCTTTTCTCCTGGGGGAGGCCAGGAGAGTTAATAAAGCCTAGTTTGCAGCCCAGAACTGTCACCTAGCTGCTGATCAAATACGCTCTTGGTGAAGTTAATTGTTACGGCATCTATTCGTCCCTTTGATTTTGCCATGAAGAGATTTAACTGGGTTCATCTTATTTTCATTTCCTTCTGCCTCTTGTTCCTACTCCATCTGATATCTGCGACTGATCTATACGTTCCAACGGACAAAATCCTCCTGAATTGTGGTGCTGCCTCAGAAACAACAGATACAGATGGTCAGAAATGGAGTGGAGATGTTGGGTCCAAGTTCTTACCTTCATCAGACAACACATTAACCTCTAGAGCTGCCACTCAAGGCCCATCCGTCCCCGAAGTCCCTTACATGACAGCAAGGATATTCCACTCTGAATTTACATACACTTTCCCGGTCACATCTGGCCGGAAATTCGTTCGTCTCTACTTCTATCCAACTTCTTATAATGGCCTCAATGAATCTAATGCGCTCTTCTCCGTCACTTCCGGTCCCTATACTCTTCTCCACAACTTCAGTGCTTCGCAAACTGCCGAGGCTCTAAACTATGCTGTCATTCCTAAAGAGTTCTCCTTAAATGTGGAGAATCAGAGCTTGAATTTAACATTCAAGCCATCGTCCAATGCTTCCAATTCCTATGCATTTGTTAATGGGATCGAGATTGTTTCGATGCCTGATATCTACAATAGTGCAAACGGTGCCTTACTTGTTGGTCACAATACTCAGTTCCCCTTTGATAACAGTACTGCCCTTGAGAATGTTTACCGGCTAAATGTGGGTGGCAACGACATTCCACCATCGGAAGATACCGGTCTCTTGCGATATTGGCGTGATGATTTCATATACATCTTTGGAGGAGCTTCTGGTGTGACACAGTTTGGCATTACAATTCACTACCCTTCAAATGTTCCTAACTATACTGCACCAACGAATGTTTATGCCACAGCCAGAACTATGGGACCAAATGCAAATGTCAATGTGAATTACAATCTGACATGGATTTTCCAAGTTGACCCAGGATTTTTCTACCTGGTTAGGCTCCATTTCTGTGAGATTCTAGCTGACATAACCAAGATCAACCAAAGGGTGTTTCAGATCTTCATCAATAACCAAACTGCCGAGGATGGCGCAGATGTGGTTGGTTGGACCAATGGAAATGGAATTCCAATTTATAGAGATTATGTCGTGCTTGTTCAAAAAGGGAATGTACAGCAGGATCTCTGGCTAGCACTGCATCCTGCTACAGCATCAAAGCCCAATTACTACAACGCAATCTTGAATGGAATGGAGATCTTTAAATTAAATGATTCTACTGGAAACCTTGCTGGACCCAATCCAATTCCCCCTGTAAGACAAAATGTGATTGACCCATCTTTGACTAGACCTCCTTCTGGTAATTCAAAGAACCAGGCTGCAGTCATTGCTGGAGGAGTTGTAGGTGGTATTGCTGCTGTTTGTATTCTCTGCTTATTGGTGTTTGCTGTATTCCGATGGCAGAGGAAAAGGAAGTACTCTGGTGCCATCGGTGGTACGCCATCTGGGTGGGTCCCTGTTTCTCAGTATGGAAATTCACACTCTGGAGGAGGATCTACCAAGAAAAGCAAAACTAGTGGAAGCTATACGTCCTCGCTTCCTTCAAACCTTTGTCGCCACTTTTCCTTTGCAGAGATCAAGGCTGCCACCAACAACTTTGATGAAGCACTACTGCTTGGTGTTGGTGGTTTTGGCAAGGTCTACAGGGGTGAAATTGATGGTGGGAGGACTAAGGTTGCAATCAAGCGTGGCAACCCATTGTCTCAGCAAGGGGTCCGCGAATTTCAGACAGAGATTGAGATGCTCTCAAAGCTCCGCCACCGTCACCTCGTCTCACTGATTGGCTACTGTGAGGAGGGCTATGAAATGATCCTTGTCTATGATTACATGGCTCATGGGACTCTCCGTGAGCATCTCTACAAGACTCAAAAGCCACCCCTCCCTTGGAAGGAGAGGCTTGAGATCTGCATCGGAGCTGCCCGTGGCCTTCACTACCTCCACACTGGTATCAAGCACACCGTCATCCACCGAGATGTTAAGACGACAAACATCCTCCTAGATGAGAAATGGGTTGCCAAGGTTTCAGATTTTGGCTTGTCAAAGACAGGACCAACGTTGGATCATACTCATGTCAGCACTGTTGTGAAGGGTAGCTTTGGATATTTGGATCCAGAATACTTCAGGAGGCTGCAATTGACTGAGAAATCAGATGTTTACTCATTTGGGGTTGTGTTGTTTGAGATCCTCTGTGCTCGTCCAGCGTTGAGTCCAACATTGCCAAAGGAACAAGTCAGCTTGGCGGAGTGGGCCGTGCATTGCCAGAAGAAGGGAATCCTTGAGGAGTTCATTGACCCATATCTGAAGGGAAAAATTGCACCAGAGTGCTTCAAGAAGTTTGCAGAGATAGCAGAGAAATGCGTGAGTGACCAGGGGAGTGACCGCCCGGCAATGGGAGATGTTCTCTGGAACCTTGAGTTTGCGCTACAGCTGCAGGAGAGTGCAGAGAGTGGTGGGTTCAGTAGCGACATGGGCATTGAGGAGACCCCATTAACTGGAAAATGGAAGAAAGATTCAGATGCTTTTTCGGGTTTTGAGAGCACGACAGAATGTAGGAGCAGTGGAATGTCTATGAGCGTTGGGTGCCAGAGTCTCACAAGTGAAGATTCTGGTGGGTTGAGACCTAGTGCTGTTTTCTCACAGATCATGAACCCAAAAGGTCGGTGAAGTGAAACCCAAGCGCCATTTTCTACCTGGATTCAATAAAACCAACAACTTTGTCTGTTCAGCAAATTTGGGTTTCTGTTTCTTTTTTACATCTTTGTTTTTTATCAACTTTTATTTTTTTAGATATGTTCTCTGAATGTTTGTTGTAATGGTAAATTATCACCCAAAGCGTGCAGGAGTAATGTATTTGTACTTGCATTAATTACACCAAGTAAGGTGAATATATGAATTGAGTATTGACAACTGCTTGTCAAAGAACTATGCCTGCCCTTAGAAATTGAGAGAAGGGATTAGCAGAACGGGATAGTTGTTCAGTGGGAGTGGGATGTGGAACCAACGATAATTCATGGCCCATGAATTTATTACTGACACGTAGGGGTGTCAATTGGACTGGATTTGGTCCAGTCTGATCCAATCCAATGTGAGTCCATTATAAATGGACCAGGTCCAATCCAATCCAATTTAATGTTTGGACCGTTCAATCTCTTCAAATTCATTTTGATTAAAATTGGTTTCAATCCAAACCTGGTTTATTGACACACATACTCTTATCTTATATCAATGGATCAAATATTGACTTAATCCAACCCAATTCAATATAAATTTGTTACGGAGGGACCAGTCCAATCCAATCTAATAAATATTCTGGACCGGATTATTCCAGTCCAATATGTCTTGTTGGTCCGTCCAATCCATCCAAATTGATTTTAGACTGAACTGGATCTAATCCAAACCGGTCCATTGACACCCTTATTGACATGGAATATTATTATTGGTTCCACAGCCGACTGAACAGTTAGAGCGTTCAGCTAATCCTATCTAATAGGAATTAGGGTACCCTGCTGTCCTTTTGGCTGGGGTAGAGTCCCTGGTTCTAACTCGTCGTTCAGTTGACACCTGTCCAATTTTCCTTCTCATGATACTTCACACTTTTGTTAAAACATAGAAGAGGTGGTTTCTTCTTTCATCATTGTCCTTCCATCTGGGGGTATCAATTGGATAGGATTTGGTCCAATCCAATCCAGTCTAATGAGTCTATTACAAATGGATCATGTCCAATTTAATCTGATGAATACTTTGGATCATTTTGAACCAATCCAATTCAAAATTTGGGCCACCAGATTTATTCCAATCCAAACTTTGCCCATTGACCCAATCCAATACAAATCTGTTATAGATAGACCAAGTCTAATCCAATTCAATATATCTTATTGATCTGTCAAATCCAAAAACCGGTTCGTTGACAACCCTACTTTTCTCTCATTTGAATGGGTTTTTGAGTTGGTGGTGATTGAAAACTATAGTTGGATTGGGTTGGATTATGGATGCATCACACTTCACGCGGAATCAATTGTTTAGAAAAGTGGTGAATTATATAATAAATTATTAAATTTGGTTAGATGAAGATGTAGTTTATATAGAAAATTGTTTATAGAAATAAGAATCAATTGGGTCAGCTAGCGGAACCCATTGGATGACGGTTGTGTGGTTAGTGTAGTCGGATTCTTGACCGAGTCGATGTGAATGTGTTTTGGAGGCTAATTTGAGGTGATAGTTTTTATTTGTTTACTTAGCACTTGCAAGTTAGAAGTAAACTTCCAGGAGAATATTTGTCTAATGTCTTCTAACATGCATTATTTAGTTATAAAACTTATAATTGGTTTCATACATCAATCAATCAATAGATTCCTACCTCCTAACCCCGAAAAAAGGTTGAAAAATGAAAAAAGAGAAACGGTCAATGAATGTGTTAGCATGGATATATACAAAGATCGATTGAGTTGGATAATATTTTTCAGGGTTTGAGTATCAGCTTGTGTAGTGTTTTTTTTATGTTTTATTTATTTTTTTTTTCAAAACGAGTTCAAAGGAGTTTATTTAAGTTCCAGTTACCCTCTGAATCATGGCTAACCCGATACAATACCTATAGGGGTGTATCAAGAAGCTCCCGGCATGATACATATCGGTCGATACGAGTCGATACGTATCGATACTTTGAACTTTATCTGGTAGTGATTAGTGGCGGAGTCAGGAATTTTCTTTTGAAGGGATAAAGTTAAATAGTAAAATGAGATAAAAAGTAAAAGAGATAGGATTTGAAGAAAATGAAGCCAGAAGGTTTGAATCTATTACAGATTTTTAAAGACGGACTTGAGTTTTATTCTTTGAAGAGCTAGCGATCAATCAGTGCTGCCTCAACATGTCATGTGGACATGCCTTAGTGACAATACGACGTCATTTAGGCTTTGTTTGGTTACAATGCAAATTATTTGCATTTTTGCATTGATGCAAAACCATGGCAGTACAAATGATTTGTGTAGATTTTGACTTATTTTTGTTTCAAATTTTAGTTTGTGCTGTTTGATTGGAGTACAAATGAAATAAATTAAGACATGAAGCAGAATAAAATAAAATCTGAAACAAAATTAAACAAGAATTTGTATTTGTACTCCTTCCAAACTGACCCTTAACAAATAAGTTGTACTACACTCAACAGTGACCATACCAAGGTTCAAAGTATCTATACTTATTGGCCTGTATCATGCCGATGACTTACCGATATACCCCTTCAGGGATTGTATCGGGTCAGCCACCGGTTCAAAAGATGGCCTTAAACCGATCCCTCTCAACCGATTTCAAAAAAATAAATAAAACTTAAAAAAACATACTAATATGTCGGCCTGTGTCGGTATTTAGAACCTTGGACCACACCATAATCTGACACTTGGAACTACCTCTTCCACACAACTAGACATTCGTTCGTAAATGTAATAAATAAATTTGATTGGTCGGAAAAGTACAGATAGGCCTAATGCAGATTTTTCATTTCCACTGCATAGCTATAAACATTCAAAGTGTCAACAACCCACATTCTATGCATCAACGCCTGCCCGTAAATTGACATCAATTCCAAGTTGACACCTACTCTAACAATACTTTGGGCCTAGAAATTTTGACCCTGGGCTGAACTATCATTCTCCCATAACATAATACTTTTCTCGTTTTATTACCTAAGAGCCCATTTGGAAGGGATTCACCTTTTGATTGTGCTGCATTGACTGAATTGAATTGAAGAAGCTAGAAGTAGAAAGTGAATTTAATAGCTCAATTAAAATGCATTCTGTCTTTCCGGTTTTTTCACCAAATATAACTTTTAGGCTTTCCGTGTAGCTTGCAAAGCCAGAAGCTGCTGCACGAAAGCCCTTCCGAACTGGGCACTGAGAAGAGAACATAGAATGGAAATGACAATCTCTCCCTTGCAATGAGGAGTGGAAACCAGTAAATAAAAGTTCTGTCAGTAAAACAAATCGGGCCACTTGCCTCACAACTTCAACATGCATGATCTCCGCCTCAACAGGTCAAATTCTAGAGCCCTGGTTCCCTGAATAAACTCCCTGTTTCATCAATATTCATTGTCAAGCTCTAGGATAGCCGGCCACACTCAACTATCCTTGACCGCTCAACCACTAAGAGGATGTTTGGTTTCATGGGTGTTTATTCAATAAACGCTGCTATATAAGCATCACTTTAACAGTTTCCCTCTCTTGCTCTTCCATACGCATCAAGAATGATAAGTGGACTTCGATTTTTGTGCATGCCTATTGTTTGGAGAAATTAATTTTTTAAACTTCCACAAACGATTAAACGTTTTTTCACTATTATGCTGATGTGGTACCTAATTGTTATAAACAGTTGTAATTATTACCTTTCTCAGTTTTATAAATAAATAAAATACAAATGTTGAATGAGAAAATGTAAACGAACCAAACACATACTAAATCCAGCGACTCCCATTGCCCTCGCAAAACCTGTAGATGGTGCTGAAACAGATAAGACGGTGACCAACTATAATACAAAAATATGCAGATTGACTGGTACTTCTTTACTGATCAATGGATACATTAGCCCGCCGTAGACGTAGAGTATGTATAATAGAAAGAGGCCCTTCTACTACGCGATATCATGGTTAACCAAAGCAACTGTTTGGAGTCTTGGATTCAAAAAGTCTTAAATTTCATAATTCCATAACCTCATGATCTTAGCATCGACTTCATAACAAAATCAGTTCATTTATGGTTTAGAATAAGAGGCCTCCCCTGTTACAGTTATACTCTGTTTTTGGGTCCTTTGGCATATGAAAATGAACTCAATTAGCGATTTAGTGATTTAACACAACTTCACCTATTATGTAGTTTACTTACAAAACCACTCAGGAAGAAAACGCAACTTTCTAGTCCCCAAAAAGAAGATTTACAAATGAAAAAGTACACCGATCAAAAAAATATAAATCAGTGTATTCACAATGAAATCAATGACCTTAAGTGCCCATAATTTAACTACGGACCGATCCCATATAGTTGGGATAAAGCTTGGATGATGATGCTGCTGAAGAAATCAATGGATATTCCCTTTCTCTTGATTGAGAGCACACACAACAGAGAGAAAATGGGGCGTGCAACGGGAGTCATTTAGAGCTCTGTGTTGCTGACTCGGCAATTGTAGTTACCTTACTCTGAAGCTCTGGTTTGTTGGCACCCACTAGCTTGTCCACTTGTTGCCCATCTCTAAGGAAGAAGAAGGTTGGAGTGGCTCTGATGTCCCATGAAGCACTGAATTCCTGCACCGCATCCAGGCATATGGAATCATTTTCATCATCAGACTTTTTTTCCAAAATAATTGGAAAAAAAATATCCGAAAGTCCATTTCTTGAAAGTACGCACAACGTGTAAGCATGATTCCTGGACGTTTCTATCATAGAGAAGTGATCATACAGACCATGCATGTAAACCCTGTCCCAAATTTCTTAGACTAATTCTTTGTCCCTAAGACCTGAATGCTAACACAATATGGTCAAGTACAACTTTTCTACTGAAAAGTTTTCCATGATGTTATGAATTTGGCAGTCGGCCATGTACCCGTAACCTATCCCATCAGTCCCCCAACTAATTTCCTGATTTTATAACCGTGTCCACAACCTGGGTCTACAACTCACAGTGAAAAAGAACCAGGTTCTACAGGCAAGGCTGTTGACCCATGACAAACCCATCTTTTTTATCTTTTCTCCTAGGGTCCAACTCTACAGTCAAAATTATACAAGCCACATAAAAAACATAGGGTTCGAATCTTTTATAAATTTATAATCCTCTGTAGAGCTTCAAATCTATATTCTCTTCTATATATTCCCAAGAATGAGGATTCCAAAATATTGGTTATCGCAAAGACCATGTCTGATCATAGAGCTACAATATCTGCATGTCTGATTAAAGAGGTCGAATCCAATCTGCTTATAATTGGATAAAGTTGAATAGAGAGGTATCAATGCAATCTTGCAACCACCATTCATTTACTAAGGCTCAGTTTGGAAGGAGTACAAATACAAATATGTAGAGTGCAAAACCTTGTTTTTTATATTATTCTGTATGTATTTGCACTGTACATTTTTGTATTTGTACTCTTTCCAAACTGAGCCTAATGGAAAATTGTCTGACACAGGAACCACTGAAGGCATCTAAAAGCCAGAGCAAGTATAAGAGAAAGTTAGACAAGTGAAGGGGATTTTCAGATAATAACCCTATAAAATATGTACATATTTAGTTTACATTATAAAAAATGTATATACTTTTTTTTCACTTAGGCATCAACATGTCTTGCCAGGCCAAAACATCTAAGAGTCACTTCACTTAACTGCCTTAACTACACTGATATCCAACATAAAGATTAAAAAAAATCTCTCACAAAATTTAGAACAGAATTGTTACGCTAAATAATCAAAGAAAACATAATCCTGCCTGCTCTGCTATCTTCGACATGCATGGAAATAGGAATCTGAATAGAAAGAATTGAAATCACTTACAGCCAGCTCATCAACATCCACAGTTAGGAACATGAGAGAAGGGTATTTCTCAGATAGCTCACAGTAGAGTGGTGCAATCATCCTACAGGGACCACACCATGATGCACTAAAATTTGCCACAACCTGTTAAATATTAAAGATTGGAGCAAAAGAGTTAAATATTAAAGAAAGACATTAAACAATGTAGATAGACAATCCTGTTAAACAATGTTGCTAGATCATTCTACTTTGACTTAAACAGCAAAGAAACTTTGTTTCCAGAATAATCTTGATTAGACCCCAATCACATGGAGATGCTAACTGAAGAATACACAAATTAGAAAGTTGTGGAAACCAAACTCAATACATAATTAAACCCAAGAAAATAAGGATTTTCAGTGCCCACACTAGGGAATTTCCTGCTAGGATTGCTGGACTATGCAACTAACAAAATGCATCAATGTAGACCCACTTAAGATATTGAAGTGCTTTCTAAACTCTGTGGCAACTGTAAAGCTGCTAATAGATCACCACATCAGACTTTCACTCTTATTAGCAAGTAGAAAGAAGTGGTAGATATTCTGAGAGGTTCACTCATTTACTTGTATTTGTTAGTTGGATTTGTATATGTAGTTAAGGCTCTAAGCAAGTTTTGTATAGATAATTTTTTTTTATCAATAATTTTGCATAGATAAATTTGGATCAATGTCTACAAAGTTTTGATAAATAGGAAGCTTAGAAATCTCCTTGTTAGTCTGTATACAAGGGGATTGCCATGTAATACATTTGATCTTGGTATTTTATCTTGAGGGGGATGCACTTGGTATGTTCCTAACCTCCAGAATTTTTTTTTTTTTTTGGTCCAGAGTGCATGACCTTAGACCCAAATCTGCATTGTCATACTTTTCAGCCTGGTAAGTTGTCATCATACCCAGCAATGGTCCCTACTCCCTAAAGAATTTATTATTTCAATAAAGTGATAATTACTGATGTTATTAAATTCTGGTTATCTAAATTCAACTTGGAGATAGTTTGTTAGTTACTAATGGTAGAGTTTCAATATTTGATCCATGGATAAGGACACAAGTGTGATGTGTCAACACGTACATAGTGTTGGATACCAAAGACCACCAAATTCTAGACATGGGGACATGGATATAGCATCTAAGTTTCCCCCATGTTAAATATTATTTATCTATGACATCTAATGTTATTGCTATTAACAACATTGGGCATTTTTCTCTTAAGGATACTTACATAAATAATTAACAGCAGGAACATAAATGCAATTTTAAGGAACAATATAGCAAAAAAGGATAAATAGAGGGCCCAAATGTGAAAAGTCCTTTGATGCAAATCTTATAAGACTGAGCCAAAAATAGAAAATTGCTGGCTTTTCAAATGCTGTAGTGACTTACGTGTAAGCACAACTGCAAGAGTCTCTTCTCTAGGGTCTAATTCTGATCCCCCCCCTCCTTTTCTCAGCTACTGCCAGCTGTTGTATTTTCTCCATTCTTTAAAAAGTGCCGCCATTCTGGTCTTCCCTCCCACAGAGGTTACAGTTATCCTTTTTTGTAATTTCTTATACAAGACACATGAGTGCGCCCAAAGTCATTCAGTACTTGTCCAAATATATGTGTCTATACCAATACACCTGCTTTCTACATGCTATGTCTCCCAAATCATAGGTTTTAGATTTAAGAAATTTCTGGTAGAAAATATAATCACAGGAATAAGTGGAAGAGATGGCCAACCCATTGATAAAAAACGGTTGAGTTTGAAGATGGAAAGAAATTTGGTTTAAAGTGGTTCTTGTGTGAAGTGTGAGCCTTGTGAGGCACAATCTCTCCTTCTTTCTTCTTTTCTTCGCTTCTAATATTCAGTTGTTCTGATAAGTGTCTTCTTCCTCATGCTAAAATCTGTGACCATACAACTTATGTCTGAAGCTCCTCTTTTCTTCCATATCTTTCTCTTACTCTTATAATTGCTGCCCATATTTTCTTCAATTAAATTTATAATAAACAGCTTTTTTTCCATTTTGACTTCTGAAATTCAACTTTGTAGACTTGTTCCCCCTTCTCAGATCCATTCGGAGATCTGAACCATTCTAGCAAGTGTCAATGCAGAACCTAAAGTGAGGTTGCAGCACGGGCACAAACTCTGAGGTGATTTTTTTTTAAAGAAAGATAACCAAACTCAGAGGTGATTTTGCTATGTAATTTGCAGAACTTGCAACAACTCAAGACTTCCTTAATGGTGGCTTGCACAAAATAGGGAAGAAAATAAAGACGAGAAAGGGAGAGATGCAATTACACCACAATGAATCTCTATTCTTTAAGCAAACTACTTGTAGATCTCAAATCTCAAGTTTTTATTCAACCGGCAAAAGAGAGGTAAGGCTAGACCGCTAGAAATGGAAAACCTAAATTACAAAATGAACTCCTCACGGAAAAGGCAAAATTACAAACTTCTACAATATTCTTCCTTTGGTTTCTTCATTAATGGACTTGCTAGGGCAGGATTCATCTCAAGGACCTAAATCAAGTACTAGACTGTGGTTAGGGGTGCAACTTGGGTGGGCTCGGGTTGGAATTTTGTTAAAATTTGAATGGGCTCTGATACAGTGTAAATTCTCCAAATCAGGTATTCAACTTGAACCATGGTTATGGGCCTGAGTACTGTGCTCCAGAATGGTTTCTTTCTTGAGTTTGAGTTGACTGACACAAGGTCCTCCTCCTCAACATCTGTGTGGACCTAAGGTCAAATGGATCAGGCCCACCTGTGTGGCTGTGTGCATCCACCTTCTTTCCTACAAAATTAGCACACCGCAGATATAATTTCAGAAAACCTCTTCCTACGTTTTATTACATGTTTTCCATGCTTATTAATATCCGACAGTCTAGAATTGGACCAACTAATCTGAAAAGAAAGTCTTATTTATTATCTTATCAGAATATGCTTAATTAAATAAAATATTGCATCTAGTGATTTTACTCATGCAGATTCTGTATGTAATAGTCTTTGGACAACTGTTGGCATAATCAATGTACCTCTCGTTTGCTTCCAGCAGAAAACAACACAGCTTATGGGAAAATCATGACTTTAGAAGCAATAACAAGACCATTTAACATGGTAAGTCATTCAATTTTCTGATGTTATATACAAATCCTACTATCTGACCTCCAAAAGACACACATTGACAAAAAAAAGGGGAAGAAAGGAAAAAGAAAACTGAAACTTACTATCTTTCCATTCCTGTTTGCCTCTGCGAGCTTTTCATCCCAACTTTCTTTGTTAGTTATAAGACAGACATTTCCACCTTCAAATTCTACCTTCTCACTCAAAGCATCATCATTGTTTTTCTGCATGTTATAAGGCTCAACTTCTTTATTAAAACAATATAACAAAATAAAAATCAAGAAACGATTTCATATTATAAACTAAACCACAATTTACAATTTACACTTTGAAGAATAGGTAGAAGACGACGCACTGCCAAATTAACATCACAAGGCTTCTCTATACTGGAAACATAGGAACTGAACATCTTGGCTCTGACAAGACTTATGTAGATTATTAGCCAGAAGGAAAGAAGAAGTATAATGCAATGATAGTATCCTAATGTGGAACAGTGAATTGATTCCAGTTCAGAAAGAGGATTCATCCTGTGGTACAGACAAGAGGAAACTATGAGGGCATAGTCCCTCATGAAGAGATTAAGAGAATTTTTCCACTTCTAGTAAGAACAACTACCTCAACATTTGGTAGAATCTGCACCTTCTATGGAACCAATAATGGTCTGCCTTTCTTATTTATGTAGATCCCCATAATACCTGTGCTCCCAAGTTCATTATATTTAAAGTAAAAATATAAAAACCTCCCTTGAGGTTTCACTTTAACAAAAGCATCCCTTATAGTTTTGAAAAAACCTGCAGTTAACTCCCTTTTATCATTGTTCCAGTAATGGAGACTTGGAAGTTACAAAATTGTCCTTACTATTTGTTAGGGCATCTTCCAACATAATTCAAAATGCCAAATTTTCCCTTCTAGACTTCACTCAATCCTTATGAGCTTACAAAGTAAAATTACATTTTTCAATATGACCCAGGGAATTTTTTTAGTTAAAAGTTAACACTTCTTTTTTTTAATCAATAACTCTGAAAAAATTTCATTAATTAAGATGCTTTAGGATACAACAAGATAAAATGGGTATTTTCAAAATTAATGTATTAGGCCAATGTTTTCCATTTGGTACAACGATGAAAGGGAGGTAACTGTAGGTTTTTTCAAAACTACATGGGAGGTTTTTGTTAAAATTAAACCTATGACTGTCCAAAACATCAGGGGAGGTTTTTATATTTTACCCTTATATATAAGGGCCAATTCCTTGGTGCAATGGTAAAATCTCATTCTGAAAAGTTTTAGAGAACCAGTTCAGACTGAGGAACAGCCACTTTTTTAATAAAAACTAAAGATTAGGTCCATATCCAGTCCACTTCTACCAAGGACCCAGATAGACAAGACAAACATTGGGTAATGGCCCTTCAGAACCTGTACTTTCTTCAAGCAACAAAATGTTCCGACACTTGTACAATAGGAGCCTAAGATGATATAATTAAGTTTGACTTGAAAGTCAAATAATCCATATACAATGGCTCTTTAACTTACCTACAATGAAAAATAAACTAAATGTCCAGTCTTACATAACTTAAATAAGGCAGTTTCTAGTAAGGACTTTAAAACAAGTATCCCATGACAGCACTAAATGTAAACAAGGTGCCAACTGGTCGGTTGGTAAGGCCTCATGCTGGTTGTAGCAGAGGCTTGGGATCGAATCCCACCTACACCGGGGTTGGAGGGGTCATAGGTTGGGGGATGGGCTACCTCTGTTGTGTAGCCCCATGGAACAAAAAAAAACACTAAATATAAATGAAAAAAGACAGTTTCTTAATTGAATTTATTTGAATTATAGAAAATCGTAGGGTTCAAACAAAAATTGTAAATTTTTGCAAAAAAACAAACAGCATTCTTATTTTTTCCAGAAAACAACATTCTTTATAATAAAGAGACAGATTTGGACCCATAACTGTAGCTCAACAAGATGAGGAGTTTTTATTGCACCCTTTACGAAATGTTGAAATTTTGAAGAAACAAAGTATGAAAATTTTGAAATGATAGCATAGGAAGAAAAAGAAGAAAGTGAAACACTCCACATCAAGAAGAAAAGTCACAACCTTCTCATTGAGTAAATGAAATTTGTTTGAAGAGACTCACCTTCTGGAAACAATTTCCCATTAAGTACCGGTCCCTTGTGAAACAAAAACAACAGCACCCTGAAAATGCACCATCATGGCCACAGGAAACATCCAATTAATCTCATGCTAAAGTTTTATCCAGCACACTAGCATTCAGGGAAATAAAGGTTTATGTGTGTATGACCTTAGTTATGTAACTTGCAGTAGTTTTCTACTTTTTGCTTGACTATGTGTGCATATTGCACAGGTACCTTATATGAAAATTCCAGTTTCCTTCTTGGTATCAAACTAAGGATAGTAAAAGCAAATAAACAAATATATCAGATTGAAGGTATTTATCTTTACTCTTTAGAAATTTCTGTCTAAATAAGTTTAAGTCAACAATTCACCTGGGTTCAAAACCCAATTTTCACATTCTGACAAACTACTCAGCCACTTGTCAGATGCCAAGAAAGGAAAAAACAAGATATGAGTGATTATGTTTCTGGTGAACAGTAAACTTAATTTCCCCTTTATGAGTTTCTACAAGAAGCAACAGAAGAAACGATGTTATGCAACCTATAACCAACAAACTTCTTTTTTTTTCCTTTAACATTTTCTTATCTGCCATAATAGAAAGTTAAACAAGAATGGGTAAGGTCGTAATTGCAACATGTTATTTTGGGAAGGCAGGTTGGCTGTTAACATACTGGTTTCAAAATCCAAGGTCCTGGTATAATATTGAAGTAAAATTGCCCAATTGCACAGCCAGTTTAGGAGGTTCTACTCAACCTCTTAGCGTGTGCCCAGTTCTTTAGCGCTAAAAATAAATAAAAATAAATAAAAAAGAAAAAGAGGAGCTTCGTTACTATTGAGAACAAAAGAATAAATAAAAATGGATGCTATTGGGAATCAGTGCTTTACAATCCTGACAAATTCAGGTCTTGATAACTCATGAAATGTTGTTAGGTATTCCTGTTGTGGAAATAACAAGCTAATTACCTTTAAGTTACAGTAACTAGAGGAAAACTCTCCGTAACAGCGCACTCTCCACGGCATAGCGCGCAACAAATGAACATAATTGGGAACGAAAGACGGAACCGAGAGAGAGAGAGAGAGAGAGAGAGAGCGTAAAACCGTAATTAACAAAACCCTAGAAAATTATCATCATTGATGCTACATGGTCATCAAATGGATAAACGAGCAGCAAGAATCTTCACGAAATTAGGAAGAACTTTGGTGGGGGGGGGAAGCGAAAATTACCTTCTATATCGTAATGACTTGAACCCTTCGTCAGTCCGAAATTTCAGAATCGCAATATTATATCTAAAATTCGTGATTGAAAGCCCTTAATTGAGAAAGAAAAAAACCCTGTAACGGAAACCCAACCTTTTGTGTTGAACAGGAACCCAACCTGTAGTTAAGGTGTTGCTCCCGTGATCAGGTAATGAAATACCAGAATGCCCTTAGTTAGACAAGTACATGGATCATGGATGTTTGTTCATTCCAAGCAAATTTCATGTGTTCTTTGCTACTGTTGTGGTTGACAGGTCATCCCACCTTACCGTATCCATGGACCATGGAGCCTATTGACAACGATGTCCACGTGGCAACTTTGTTTTTTTAAAAGGTAAATTGCAGAAAACGACCCTGGTAATCTCATTTTAGGACATGAATTTCTAAGGTATGTCACTTTAATAACTGAATTTCCCAAGTCGAAAGGTAGAAAAATGCAGGTGCCAACCAGCTAGACTTAGGATTCATGGTTTTCAAAATCGGACCAGACGGAACGGTCAGACCAGAAAAACCGAGAACCAATCAGGTGACCGATTTTATTTTATTCATGACCGTTATTTCGCCAAAAACTGTTGATTTGGTCAATAAATCGCTGATTTGGGCAGTTGAACCGTCCAATGGTTTGACCGTTTTTTATTTTTATTTTTTTGTTAGAACAGTCCATCGATTCGGTTCAAACAGTCAGACCGTTTGACCCAGAAATCGGACCCCTGACTAGTTCATTGTCCGATTCAGTTTTAAAAACCTTATTGGGATCTAATCCCGCCTGCACCTAGGTTTGTTGGGTTATGGGTTGCAGGATGGGCTACCATTCTTGGTGACGGAATCTGCTCCTAACACTTCGGTGCCTCACAGGCACATCCACCATGTATTGGGATCATCTCCCATCAATAATAACTAATAAGTATGGGAGATATTCTCAATACATGATAGGATGTGCGTGTGAGGCGCCAATCGTGAGGAGCAGATCCCGTCACCCATTCTTGTGTATTATTGTGTAGCCCTTAAAAAAATGCTAGAAAAAGATAAATAGTGAAAAAAATAAGGTAAATTGCATATTGTTAGCTTGTAATTTGGACCTAGCCTCACCTGAATTCCTTCCGTCAATTATCTGTATCATCTTCTTCCTCAAGAATTAAGACTAAACCAAAGCAATGATGAACAATCCCAAACTCACCATCAATCCATCTACTTTCTCCATTCTATTATTCTCTCTCTTTCCGGCTCTTCTTCTTCTGTCCTCCCTCCGGCTCTTCTTCTTCCCTCCACTTTGTGGTGTGAACTTTCCTAAATCTTCCTCACATGACTGACATCGAACCTCCTTTTTCTTGGTAACTAATCCTGTGTATTGACCTTTCTTTTTCAGAGTTCAAAGAAGGTTCAGGCTACGTTTGGCATTCAAATTCAATAATTAATTGAAATTTTTAAAAAGGTCAAACTTGAAAAGCACATCCCACTTAGGTGAATAGAACTCTGTTATTACCTTCTCAGCGTAAAGTTCCACACAATTCTCTATCAAACAAACAATAATGAACTTCCTTCCCACAATTCTAGTCTAACCATCTTTATTCTTTAAATCTGGGACTAATTTTCTAGAGACAAGAAGAAAAGAAAAAGAAACAAAGCCAATGAATCAAAAGTCTCCCTAAATTAACAAAGTATACAAGTACATGAGTTCTATGATATCCTCTGTTAATCAAAGAAGAAACGTCAAAAAAAAGTTCCAAGAAAACATGAGATCCAGATTTGGCAATGTAAGCATCCTCTGTTTGTACAAAATTTATGTGCATGGTGGTTGAAGAACATCCGGTTTCATGTTTCACAAGGATAAGAAAAAGAGGGAGAGATTCAATGGACTAACACGATTTAGGTTGCATTTGGCATTTCTTATTTTAATGATTTATCTCCTTTTTGCAGTTAAAATTCCCCCATAAACACTGAGTTTTTAACTGTAAAAAAGGAGATGAGTCTTTAAAATAAGAAATGCCAAATGCAGCTGATGGTGCGCAATCTGATTGGTCCTAGTTGTCAACGACCTTGCCTCTGAATGGAGCTACAGGGAGCCTGAAACAGAGAAGATGAGGAAGCTCCGGGGGGAACCCGGTATGAATGCTTCGAAGCTCAAGTTAGAATTCTTAGGCAAGATAAAACCAGATGGCGCAAAGTTCATGTACCTTGTTCTTGGGGGGTAGGGAGCCTTTTATAACCACCTCGTGCACTCACTCCTAAGCTTCTGTCAGGTCGGGTATGATTACCTCTGGGCTCCTGCCAGTTCGGGTGTCATCCCCTCTGCTGGACAGAACCACCACTGCTCCCTTTAGTTGGAGCCGTCTCTGCGACTGGCGATGACGGTGGCAGGTGACCGTTGAAGTGCGGCTGTCAAGCGTCAGATCCCAATTCAGTCAGGTGCGCTGCCCTTGGATACGGACCTCCTCGATGTCAGGTATGGTACGTTTGTTTAGTTCGGCGTCCTGGAAGCGAAGTGCTGGAGTGGTGAGCGAGGTGAAGTCTTGAGTTCGGATAGGGGAGTGTCCCGAACTGCCATGAGGCGGGCCAATTCGGGTCATTTCCTTGTGTGGCTCGGGACCTAAGGGAGAGCCCGGGCTCCTCGTTCGGATTGCTGGTGGGGAGTTCGGACTCCTTGTGGAGAGTTCAGACTGTTGGTTTCCTCCCTTTGGTGCTTGTGCCCTGGGTGCGCTGTTGTGCCGAGCTATTTGCCTTTGCCACGTGTTGAGTGATTACGAGGTCGGGCCAAATCTTCCTTCATCAATTGCCCCCCACTCCTCGTGCTAAGGGTCTTGCCTTGGCGCGGGGAGTTCGCAAGGTGGCAGGTGGATTTGTCCCGTACTTTGAATCTCGGTTGACTGATAGAGCGAGGTGCGTTGTCAGGGTTAGTCTTCGAGCGCCCAAAAGACGAAAAACGCGCCGACCTGCCTACAAATGCTACCAGACATGACAGCGTGCGCTTTATTTCAAAATCAAAAAAGTGCGTCGCTCGGAGATGTGACAGCAGGCGTCCTTTCAAATTTTGAAAATGTGCCGCTGCCGCCTTTAATGTGAGAAGACGTGCCTGACGTTCTGTCAGTTTCAAAAAGACGTGCGCCGGTGCTCTGTCAGTTTCAAAAAGACGTGCACCAATCACGTCTCGGTCTCAGGGGACGTGCGGTCAACGCGACTGCGGGCCGTCGGATTGGCTTTTGATCTATGCTGTTACTTCTTGGTCACTGTGGGTATAAATAGAAGGGGACCCCAGTCGCTTTGTCACTTCTATGCTTTGCCTCTTGAGCTCGCGCCCAGGCTTTCAGTTCGCGTTCAAGGTTTTCGCTCGTTCAAATTCTCGTAGTCTTGTTTAAGCTTTTTTCCGGGTGAGTACCTTCCCGGAATCCACCTTCTCTCCTCGATGTCTAGCTCGGAATGCTCAGACCGTTCTTCAAGTGGGTCAGATGCAGGTTCTACGAACCGAGTCGCATCCCCTGATAGTCCTAGTGAGCCGGAGGTAGAGCTCGAGGAAGAGTTCGAACCCGTAGGTCGAGTCGCCTCGGGTAGTTTGGCGTTCACCTCTCG